GTGCTTCTGTTCTCAAAAACAGTGGCGGGAGTGGCGTCCCCGCCCCACCCCTCACTAGGTACTGAACTTGAGCAGGTCAGGGGACTTCTCTGGGTACACGCAATATGTCAAAATCAGAGGAAATAACTGCCATGCAACTACTTGGAAAACCCAGAGCATTGTGCAAATGTTTGCTGTTGTTTTATTGACTTGGCCCTTACTCGATAAAAATGTTTGTATTTCACAAGTATGTGTCACTTAGATACAAGTAAGGTGTCCCATGATCCCTCCCAGAGGTCAGCAACTGTTCGGAGCCCTGAAAACTACCAGAGGCATCGCCCCGTCTGCAGGGGTGCCCGGGACAAAGGCAGAGCTGGAGAACAGGAATAGGCCAGGAAGAATGAGATGCCCGGGGCCGCCTTCCGTACACACTCCTTCCCATCCCATGCTTTTCCCAGAGCCCACCTTGTTTAAACCCTCGTCATGCCTTGTAGGTCCTCTTCCAGGTAGCCTTCCCTGACTGCAGCTGGTGCACGTCCCCTCTCCTGTGGGCACTCACGGTGTAGCAGGCGCTGGAACGGCACCAGGTGTCTGACCAGTGGGATCGGACCGAACCTGGGCTCAGCAACCTCGGTATTTGGGTTCTGGATAGGAAAGGTTCCAAAGCCAAGACCCAAACTGAAAGAAAACATTTATGGGGTAAATTGCAGAGGTAGAAAAGGTAATTCCTAGAAGAAATGGGCTTAGGAAACAAGTTACAGAGGTAAAGGAAGGGCCTTTGGAGCTTGGAGTGAGGAAGCTCATGGTAACTTGCTGGGTCTGGGGGTGGGGAGGGAACGGCACAGGCGAGCTACCGGGAGGGAGAGCGAGCGCAGTGGGTCCGCATCCTAAGGCAGTGGTTCTCAACCTTGGCTGCACATTAGAATCACCTGGGAACCTTTTGAAAATCCTGATTTCTCAGCCTCATCCTCCGGAAACTCTGTTTCTTTGTTATTAATGTTTGGCCCCACCCCATAACAAAGAAACAGAATTTCCGGAGGATGAGGCCCAGAAATCAGGATTTTAAAAAGATTCCCAGGTGATTCTAATGTGCAGCCAAGGTTGAGAGCCACTGTCTAAGGAAGCGGTTCTCAACCTGTGGGTCGCGACCCCTTTGGCGGTCGAGCGACCCTTTCACAGGGGTTGCCTTAGACCATGCTGCATATCAGATATTTACATGACGATTCATAACAGTAGCAACATTACAGTTATGAAGTAGCAACGAAAATAATTTTATGGCTGGGTCTCAACATGGGGAACTGTATTTAAAGGGCCAGAAGGCTGAGAACCACTGCTCTATGGGTTGCAGACTAACTCGTATTCCTGACCCTGCAGACGCCTGTGTTTTCAAACGTTAGGTTATTATTATGGGTCAGGATATCAATGTAGAGCTGTTGTTTCCCAAAATTACCTAAGAAGAGCTGCCTGGGGCTTGTGTTAAATGTAGACCAGCCAACTGGCCTCTCCCCTGGATATTCTGACTTTGTCGTAGGTCTGCTTTGGGACTGGAGATCTTTTTTTTTTTTTTTCAAACCAAACTTCCAGTACCTAGAATCTAGCTTTTAAACCGTTAAAGTACAGTGGGGCCTTGACTTACGAGTGTCCCGACTAACGAGGTTTTTGAGATACCAGCTGTCTCTCAGCCAATTTTTTGCATTGAGTTGATAGAATAATTTGAGTCAATGAGCTCCTTAACGAGCTCGGTCTCTGAACGAATTAAACTCAAGGCCCCACTGTATATACACATCACCCGGTGACCTTGTTAAATACAGGTACCAGTCCACTGTGTGTGGGGTGGGGCCGGAAGAGTCAGCTCTAACAGGTTCCCAGGTGGTATCTATGTAGCAGGTCCAGGCTCACAGGCTGCCGGGACAAGTTCAGGTGATTCTTATCTATAGGCACCTGGGGGACGCCAGGATCGAGTGCTGTTGGAAACCTCCACACACCTGGGGAGCTTTCAAAGCATACTAAGGTCCAGCTCCCACTGCAAACTAGTTCAGTCGGAATCTCTCAGGTTTTGTTCCGCTGGTTTGGTTTTTAAAGGTCCCAAGCTAACTCTGGTGTAAAGCCAGGTTAAGGCTCACTCCCCACCAGCATGACAGTAAATTAATGGATAAATGGAATCGACCACCTCACAGGCTTGTGGAATAAAACCCTTGACTGGTTATATATGTGGCTCATGTGTGTCGCTAGGTCAATGTGAGGTTGAAAATGGGTAAAGGAGAAAGGGAGTGTGTGACCTGTCGTTCACAGACCAGTGAGAGCAGTGGTTCTCAACCTCCCTAATGCCGCGACCCTTTAATACAGCTCCTCATGTTGTGGTGACCCCCGACCATAAAATTATTTCCGTTGCTACTTCATAACTGTAATTTTGCTACTGTTATGAATCGTCATGTAAATATCTGATATGCAGGATGTATTTTCATTGTTACAAATTGAACATAAAGCGTAGTGAGTAATCACAAAAACAATATGTAATTATGTATGTGTTTTCCGATGGTCTTAGGCGACCCCTGTGAATGGGTCGGTTCAACCCCCAAAGGGGTCGTGACCCACAGGTTGAGAACCGCTGAGTTAGAGGAGCAGAAGGGATTCAAGGACGCCCTGGGGGCGGGGGGCAGGGCTGACAGTGCTGTGCGGGGGAGTGAGGTAGGGGTCAGGGAAAGCAGCGAAGCTCTGTTGTATGCAAAGGGTGAACAGCAGGCAGGACCTTCCAGGCCCAGAGGGCGAAATGTCCGCAGCTTGTGGGCGTGTAGAAGAACCAGCAAGTTCATGGAAGGGAACCAGCAGTGCTGACCTCCTGGCCGGAGCCTGGGGACCTAAGGGGCGTGGCAGAGATAGGCCCAGATGATTTGGGAAATGTGAGCTGAAGGGAAAGGAAAGTCATTGACCCCTTGCTAGGGAGAGACCTAAGATGACCTTATGTGGCCAGAGCCACTCACAGCAGCAGGTCTGGGTTTCCAACATTCGTACACCGAAGAAGAGCCGACCAAGGGCCTGTGGGTGTCTGACAGGGAGCTGAGGCTGGAGGGGCAGAGGACCACTGTGGCCTGCAGCATGAAAGCAGCAGACTGGCTCAGCTCCAGGCAGGGTGGCCCTGCTGGCCTGGCATCTCCCAGTGGTGTGTTTAATTTCAACCTCTTCCCCCTTTTCAGGTTTTACCACAGAATAACCTTCCATTCTAATCTGAAATGAATTTTTTATGCTTATGAACATGCCGGATGCCTGGTTTATTCATTTTCCACTTACTACATCTGAGTAGGAATTCACACGGGACAGGGCAAACATAATTTTGATACAAATGCCCTTCCCCAACGGTTGCCTGATTAATCACTCCAGATCGCTGCCTGGCCTTGTCATTATCCTGCGGAGTCTGATATCTCTCTCTCTCGCACCAGTGACAGGCCAGGTGCCTGTGCCTGGCAGTGGAAACTGGCACTCTCAGACCCTGCCACCTGACCTTTACAATCTTATCTCCTGCACCATAACTTTCTCCAGGAGTCCAAATTCCACCCATTCATCCCCCAAGACCCAGTTCAAAAACCTCCTGCCCGAGATGCCGTTCCCAGTTCTCTCTTGAGCGGAAGGGTCCCTCGTGCTTCTGAATTTCCAGAGTCTTTTGTTTTTATGCCCTTCACTCGCCTCTAAGCTCCCCCGGGAGAGCTTGGGGACAGACGATGGCACACAGTGGGTCCTTCAGCAGAGTGTTGGTTGAAGTTGGGTAGCATGGTCTCCCACACCCCCAACTCCAGCAGCCCAGACAACAGGTTGGAGGCAATAGCTACAAAGCGCTCTGGGGGGAGGTGGGCAAGGAAAGGCATCCCCGGGCTACCCCTTCACCCAGTGGGGGTGCCTGTTGGCTCCCCCCAAGCCAAGTGCACACACTTCACCTATTGCAGGAGCCTCAGGAAGGGCCTCTCCCCTCCAAACAGTCCTCTCCGGTTTCCTTCAGCCCCTCAGCTCTGCTGTGTGCCTCCCGCTTGCAAGTGGAATCAGACCACTATTCCCAGGGTAGTAATTCTTACCAGCGCCAGGGGAGTGCCTTTTCAAACAGGGATCTGGGCCTCAGGGCATGACTCGTCCAAGGTCACTCCTGCTAAGTGTCAGGACTGTTACCTAACCTCGGCCTCTGAACTGCCAGTGAAGAGGTCAGACTTTAAGTCCTAACCTAAAGCACAGGTAAGTGTTCTGTAAACTGTGGGATCCTATCGGTAGCTGTCAAGAGAGGCCACTCTCCATGAGTTTATGGACCAAGGCCAGAAAGGGGGGCCAGGTGGAAAGAGGGGCCAGGTGGGGCACTTTCTTTTTTCTTTAATATATGATTTTTTACAGAGAGGAAGGGAGAGGGATAGAGAGTTAGAAACGTGGATCAGCTGCCTCCTGCACACCTCCTACTGGGCATGTGCCCGCAACCCAGGTACATGCCCTTGACCGGAATCGAACCCAGGACCCTGAGTCCGCAGGCCGAAGCTCCATCCACTGAGCCAAACCGGCCAGGGCAGGTGGGGCACTTTCAGATCTTCACCCAGCACCCGCGCCCGCCTGCCCATCACAACAATCTATTCCCACGGGCGCTCGGACGGGCTGCGCGCGACAGAAAGCGTTGGCTGTTTGTGGCCCGGCAAGGCCACCGTACGGTGCCAAGAGTGCGGCGTTCTGGAGGAAGAAATTCCGTGGCCTCAGGACCCGGGTGATGGGTGACCCGCTACCTGCCCGGCGGCGGCGAGCGACTCCAGCAGGAGGTCGGCGTCCCCTGATTCTCGCTGTTTTAAAGGAGGGGCGTGGCGGCCGCGGCGGCATCTCCCCCACGTGATCCAGCTCGGACGGCGCAAGCGCCGCGCGTTGGGGTCGGTCAAGGTCTGCGCCTGCGCGGGCTCGCTCGCCGATCCGGCGGCCGGGGCTACCGGGCGTGGAGCCGGGCGCCCGCGGCGATGGGTGAGTGCCAGGAGCTGCGGCGAGGGGAGCGCGGGGTCACCCCGAGCCTCGGGGTGGAGGGTGTGGGCGCACGGAGGGGGGGCTGAAGGGGCGCGCCGCCCGGGTCCTCCGCGCGCTCGCACCGCGTCCCCCCGGCGCGGGCTCGGCTCTGTGCTCTCGGGGTTGGCGGCCCCCGAGCGCGGGGCTCCGCGGAGCCGGGGACGGCGTCGGGCCCCCGCGGCGAGCTTTCCGCGAGCGAGGCTGTGTGTGTGTGTGTGTGTGTGTGTGTGTGTCTCGGGCGCGCCCCGAGCGGGGAGGTGCCTGGGAGCGCCCGCGCGCCGCAGGGCGGGGAGGGCCGCCTCTGCCCGCGCCCCGGGAGAAGGGCGGCGCGGCGGTCCCCCCTCCCCCCGTGGGGCTCCGGGACCCCGGACTCTGGAACGTCGGAGACGGAAGGGGCATCCCTGCCACCCCCCGCCCTCCCCCTTCCCACAGGTTGGCCGAATGGACGCTGCAAAGAGGTAAGTCAGTCGCACGGACAGACAGGGCTTATTCTGCGACACCATGTTGCTTCGTGCGGTGCGGAACTCGTGTACAAACAAGGTTTTGGGGGGCGGGGGGGAAGGTGGATGGCGCTGCTCATTGTAAATCTCTGCTGATTATTCGGCGTTGGGCTGAGCTGGGTGGCGCATGCCGGTGCCTCAGCTACGGTTACCCTTCGGGCATGGTTTTTGTTTTGCCCCTTGCAGCCGGCCGTGCGCAGCTGGTCCGAATTAACACCTGTCTCTCTACCTGTAAGCGGTGACGCCCTGGCTGAATGTGTAGCCGCCTCTGCCCTTGCTTTGCAAGGATTCCATGAAATTGAAAGGGGCTAGGCCTGGCCCGGTTCCCGAGTGGTTCCGGAGCACAGGTTCCGCACTTGGGAGTCACTCACCCTAGTGCATCTCCGGGAAAAATCACAAGTTCTTTAAGAGAAACGGACTTGTCTGGTCTCTCCTCTGGTAGATTAAGGTAGGCCCGGAGAAGGGGGTTTTTTAAGTTACGGACATGGCTGTGTATGGGGAGCAGCAAGAGCCTGCCATAACCGGGACTGGAACCAGGCTGGTCTTGCTCCGAATGCTGAGTCAGGTCTGCGGGCCGGAGTTCACATCCTTTGAGAATTACAATCGCCTTCTCCACGGTTTTGCACAAAGACCTTTGTGCTGGGATCGCATCTGGGTCTTGTTTATCTGAGTGGGCTGTAAATTCAAGCGAGTATTTAGACTTTACACTGTTTTCTTATGCAACAAAAGTTTGACACTTGCGGTTGCTCGAAAGTCAACTTCATTAACTTCCTAACGTTGAGATAGTTGGAGTGTTTTAGGGAGTGTGCAACTATGATAAATAAATTTTGCAGTTAAAGAACTGAAAATCAGTTTAGCAAAGAAATTTAACCATGTTCATGGTATAGATAAACATAAAAATTCTAAACTTCATTTCCCCAGAATACCGTGCACGCTGCCCTTCCTTCCGTTGCCAAGTTCAGACCCTGTTCACACCATCCTGGTGTGTAGGATGAAACTAAAGGGAAAGCTTTCAATCTATCAAGTCTGGGTTTCAGTACATTTCTTTTTCCTGTGTTTGGGCCTGTAGGTATTTTTTAAAAGTCTGAGACCCTGAATTATGTTCTTAAAATTTCTCAAAATAGTTCAGTACAGCCCTAACCGGTTTGGCTCAGTGGATAGAGCGTCGGCCTGCGGACGGAAGTGTCCCAGGTTTGATTCGGGTCAAGGGCATGTACCTTGGTTGCCGGCACATCCCCAGTAGGAGATGTGCAGGAGGCAGCTGATCGATGTTTCTCTCTCATCGATGTTTCTAACTCTCCATCCCTTTCCCTTCCTCTCTGTAAAAAAATCAATAAAAATATTTAAAAAATTTAAAAAAATAGTTCAGTACAGTGGTTAATAAATGACATGCTAACTTCTCTTAGCCACTGTTTTCTGCTTAATAACAGTCCTGTGATTACTGAGAGTCATTACAAACTGGATGAAATAACTTTAATTTGCGAAATTTTAGAAAGTAATGCTAATACCATTTCAGTAAGAATTAATGAACATGGACAAATTATTGTTCAGGTGCACCAATAACTTGGTCTGTATTATCAAGGGACATAAACTGTTAAATAGCTTGTAGGTAGCAACTTTAGAATTTAAAATATGTTGTGTTCAGTATGTACAAGTGAAATTGTTTTCATTCATAAATTGTCACAGTGTATTGTGTAATTATATGTACAGTAGAGACCCAGTGGGGGACTCAATCCCTCAGCCTGGCCTGCCACCTCTCACAGTCCGGGACCCCTCAGGGGTTGTCCACCTACTGGCATAGGCCCCATCCCTGGGCCTAAGCAGGCAGTCACTCATCCCTCTCGAAATCTGGGGCTCTCACAGTCCGGGACCCCTTGCTCTCTCTACCGCCCACCTGCAGCGGAGGCGGGAGAGGCTCCCACCACTGCGCTTGCCAGCGATGAGCCCTGGCTGAGTGGTGCTCCCCCTGTGGGCATTGCCTGTGTTGAGCATCTGCCCCCTGGTGGTCAGTGCGCATCATAACGACCAGTTCTGCTGGTCATTCTGTTTGGTCAATTTGCATATTAGGGTTTTATTATATTTTTGAATATTTAGAATATTTTTGTTGATTATAATGTTTAGTTCTGAAACTGAAGAAAAAGCATTACATAGATGTGAAGCATTTCTTTGCTAAGTTTTAGTATAATACTAATAAGAGTTTATTTTTAAACTTATGTCAGTTAGCTGAAACAGTAAGAAGTAAGGATACTGAAGATTAAGTAATCAATAATTATCAAACCCTAAACTCGGCAAGCTTCTTCTTGAGTACCTATAATTTTTTTTAAAACCCAAAATGTCATTGGCTTCTTTAATTGGTTAAGAACACAAAATGTAACAGGCGGAAGGTCTGTTTAAAAACAAATTAAGCCCTAACCGGTTTGGCTCAGTGGATAGAGCGTCGGCCTGCAGAATCAAGGGTCCCAGGTTCGATTCTGGTCAAGGGCATGTATGTTGGCTGCCGGCACATCCCCAGTAGGGGGTGTGCAGGAGGCAGCTGATCGATGGTTCTCTCTCATCGATGTTTCTAACTATCCCTCTCCCTTCCTCTCTGTAAAAAATCAATAAAATATATTTAAAATAAAAACAAATTAAAAGGCTGTGGTTTTGGTTTTATTTTTTTCCAATTCTCTTGTCAAGACATATACCCACAAAATAGTGTGTGAAGGGAAACTCATACATAACAAGTTGTATCCTGAATTAAGGGAAATGACTGTTGAAACAGGAATTAACAAAGTCAGCAATAGATTAATAATTTTTTATTTATTTTTTAAAATATATTTTTATTGATTTCAGAGGGGAAAGGAGAGGGAGAGATAGGAAACATCAATGATGAGAACCACCGATCGGCTGCCTCCTGCACGACCCCTACTGGGGACCGAGCCCACAACCCAGGCATGTGCCCTTGATCGGAATCGAATCCAGACCCTTCAGTCCGCAGGCTGACACTCTATCCACTGAGCCAAACCAGCTGGGGCTAATTTTTAAAAGCTGAGTCTTCAAATACTGCATGGCACAGTGCTATTCTATATAAAGTACTGCTGGATATGAAGGTGGAAGTCTATAGATTTTAGCAAAAATGCTTTTCCAAGAAAGCAAATCAAAGCAACAGAATCATCAGATCAAGGAGGGTATCAGAATGTCAACATTTCATATTTGTTATAGAAAATTCTTTTTATCCAGAATGGACTAAAATTTCAGGCCAAAATGGACACTTTTAACATTCCTTACTCTATCCATATAAAGTTCTCTGTTTCTTTCCCCCTCACCCTGTAATTCAGCATGAGCCAGTAGAAAGATGGTTGCTTTTAGAATTGGCTATTCTGGTTTTGTTTTGTTTTTTTTTTGTGGTGAGAATGTCATAGAACCTGGGTGCTTTATGCTCATATGCCATGACTGGTGTCCCACTGTGTGCAAAAAACTTGGCGAACCTGGCTTCCCACTTTTGCTTTTTCCATTGATGAAGGTCAGCTTGAGGAGGATGTATTTGTCACTGAAACTCTGAGACTGGAGGACAGTTGCCAAATATCAGGTTCCATTCCTGTAGGATCTTTCCTGTGGGCCATGAGAAAGATGCTCTTCTCCTGAACATAAAGAATATGATATGACGCACAAAGCCAAAACAGGCTTGGACTCTGAAAAAGAGTGCATATATAGTCATCCCAATCAAAGCCACTGTGGAGATGGTACAAATTGTGAGGCAACCATCAAACCACAATTCTCCACAGAATATCTTAAAAAGTAATAAAAGTTTTTTTGTTTTTTTTTAATATATTTTATTGATTTTTGACAGAGAGGAAGGGAGAGAGATAGAGAGTTAGAAACATTGATGAGAGAGAAACATCGATCAGCTGCCTCCTGCACATCCCCCACTGGGGATATGCCCACAACCCAGGCACATGCCCCTGACCGGAATCGAACCCGGGACCCTTCAGTCCGCAGGCCGACGCTCTATCCACTGAGCCAAACCGGTTTCGGCAGTAATAAAAGTTTTAATGAAAGTGCATAGCATTAAAATTGTGAAACAAATAAAAATAAGCATCTAACTAAAAAACTTAGAATAAAATAAATGTAGATAAAGCAAGAGAAAAGTGATAATAAAGAGGAAAAACAAATTTAAAAATTAAAAAATAGTAAAATTGGAAAATTCAAATGCTGGCTTCTTTGTCAAGATGAGAAGAATGTAAACTAGATAAACTGGCTAGCCTGCTAGCCCTGGCTGGTGTTGCTCAGTTGGTCAGGATCAATTCCTGGTCAGGGCACATGCCCGGATTGGGGGCTCAATCCCCTAACCCTGGCAGGAGGCAGCTGCAGGTGTTCACTCTCACATCAGTGTTTCTCTCTCTCCCTCCCTCTCTCTCTAAAAATCAATTTTAAAATATTTAAAAAAAATAACAGGCTACCTTGCTCAAGAAAAAAGGGAATATAAGTACACAAGATTAGAAGTATTTTTTAAAAATAGAAAGTGCTTTATGAGACTATAAATAAACCAGGAATTTTTTTTAAAGGAAATCCAGTTATCAAAATGACTCCAGAAAAGAGAACCTAACATCCATAACAATGGGAAATACTGAAAACGTTACCAAAAAGCTACCATTCCTCAAAACACCAGGCCCAGATGGTGTCACAGGTAAATTTGTTTTGTTTTTATTTAAATACAGTTGGTATACAATGTTATATTAGTTTCAAGTGTATAATATTCAAGTGTGACTGTCTCACTAAGTCTGGTATTATGTCACCATGCAAAATTATCACAATATTATTGACTATATTCCCCTTCTAAAGGTGAATATTTTTAAATTTGAAGGAAAAGATAATTTTGATAAGACTTAAATTGTTCACCATCGGAAGGAAGGAAAAATAAGATTCTTTTTACAAAGCCAATGAAATATTGACACCTGAACTTGACATGATAGTAATAAATTGGAAACTTGTCTGTGTTGTGAATAGTAATGTGAAGTTTTAAAATAAAATATTAGACCATGGTATTTAGCAATACATTAAAACAGGGGTCCTCAAACTTTTTAAACAGGGCCAGTTCACTGTCCCTCAGACCGTTGGAGGGCCAGACTATAGTTTAAAAAAAAACTATGAACAAATTCCTATGCACACTGCACATATCTTATTTTGAAGTAAAAAAACAAAACGGGAACAAATACAATATTTGTCTTTGCATGTGGCCCGCAGGCCGTAGTTTGAGGACCCCTGCATTAAAAGAATATTTCACCATGGCCAAATAGGATTTATACCCATATTAGAAGGAAGAGTAATTACCAAAAAGCATGCTAATAGTAGCTTATCCTTGTTGAGCACCTGTTGTGTTCTAGACTCCTCTCCTGGGTTCTTTCTATGCATTAACTCAGTTAATTAAGCACCAGTGAGGTAGGTAACATGCTGATTTTATAAATGAGGAAACAGCCATAGAAATGTGGGGTAACTTGCTGAAGATCACACAGTATCGATGTGGTGGCACCAGGATTTGAGCCCAGGCAATTAGCTGTAACTTTTAAAAGTTACATGGGTTCTGCCTCCAGTATCCACATGATCATCCCAGTTGCTTCTTAAAAGTATCTGACCAGAGTTCAAGGTAGATTCCTGATTTAGTGTTTGTGGGAAGGGGTGAAGATGGTTGAACTTTAGTAAAACAGGAATAATATACTAATATATTCCCTTCTCATGTTTGAAAACTAAGAGGCCCTATTCTCAGTTGATCATTAGTACTAAAAAAAAGGGAATCCATTTTTTTACAATATGTTTTCTATTGATTTTTAGAAAGAGGAAGAGAGAGGGATAGAAACATTGATGAGAGAGGAATATCATCGGCTGCCTCCTGCACGCCCCGTACTGGGGATCAAACCTGCAACCCGGGCTTGTGCCCTGACCAGGAGTTGAACTGGCCTGGCATTAGGACCCGACATAATGGTACTGTCTGCTGAGTTTCACTCTAATCTAATCCTGCAGGGTCAATGGCATTGGTTTGGTTCTAAGTGTGGAAACGAGCCTCAGAGAGGTACTGCCATTTGCCTTTTGTCAATTTGGAACTTTGTCTCATCGGTCTGACACTGTAGGCCTTTTGTAGTCCTGATTAGACCTCATTATTGTCACTAACTTTTAAAAACAGTTGAGTAGATGGAGATAAATTTAATTGAAAAATGTAAGAAAGGAAAATACAGTGTTATTCTGAAATTAGAAAATATAAACTAATTTTAGCTTTTTATATGTATATTGATAAAAATAGGGTTTTACTATGTCATTAAGTGAAGAAGCATATGAAAAATACATAAAATCTATTGAGTGAAAATGGAACCCCCCTAAACAATGTAGTACGAAACAAACAAACAAAAGTATTGTTGGGTTTTTTTTTTCTGTAACATTTTTTTATTGATCAATAAAAGCATTCACTCCCTCTCCCTTCCTCTCTCTCTAAAATCAAAAAAATATTTTTCAAAAAGTTATTCTGGATGCCAAAGAGCCTTTATGTGGATTAATATTTGTGGTCTTAGAAATTAAAACAAAATTTAAAAACATTAATTTACTTTATATGTTAACATAAACAACATTTTCATGAAAAATAACTTGTTCAAAAAAATATTGAGAAGAGTGTGATTTATAGTTTTGCAAGTTTCTTTTAATGTCTGGCTTAAAAGCTAGGTCGGGTCTCATATCTGCTTCTGCATTCAGTCTGTTGTACTAGTAAGTTGTTTTGAAGTATATGCAGAAAATCCAGCATCACATCGTATATAGTTGGAACAGGGAGGACCTCCTGGACCACAGAAAGGGCCTCAGGGACCTCCAGGAGTCCTTGGAAAAACTTGGAGAACTGCTAATCTATAAAGGGAAGTGTCCAGAAATTGGAGGAAGGTTTTGGGGAAAAAAATCCATGTGTTTAACACTGTTTTTAAAGGTTTATTGTCATTTTATTATTTGTAGGTTAAAAAAAATCCTTCATGAAGACGACAGATCTTAAGCCACATGATGGATTCAGAAGCTCATAAAAAGAGGTCGCCAATCATAACATCTTCAAAACAAGATATATCACCTCATATTACAGATGTTGGTGAAAGGAAACATTATTTGTGTGGCTGCTGTGCAGCTTTCAGCAACGTAGCGATCACATTTCCCATTCAGAAGGTCCTCTTTCGGCAACAGCTGTATGGAATCAAAACCAGGGATGCAGTGCTTCAGTTGAGGAGGGATGGATTTCGAAACTTGTATCGCGGAATTCTTCCCCCATTAGTGCAGAAGACAACCACACTGGCACTTATGTTTGGTCTGTATGAGGATTTATCTTGCCTTCTCCGTAAGCATGTCAGTACCCCAGATTTTGCAACCCGTAGCATGGCAGCAATACTTGCAGGGACAACAGAAGCAATTTTCACTCCATTGGAAAGAGTTCAGACACTGCTTCAAGACCACAAGCATCATGATAAATTTACAAACACTTACCAGGCTTTCAAGGCACTGAAATGCCATGGAATTGGAGAGTATTATCGAGGCTTGATACCTGTTCTTTTCCGTAATGGGTTCAGCAATGTCCTGTTTTTTGGCCTTCGGGGTCCCATTAAGGAGCACCTGCCTACCGCAACAACGTACAGTGCTCATTTGGTCAATGATTTTATCTGTGGAGGTTTATTGGGTGCCATGTTGGGAATCTTGTTTTTTCCAATTAATGTTGTAAAAACTCGCATGCAGTCTCAGATTGGTGGGGAATTTCAGTCTTTTCCCCAGGTTTTCAAAATAATCTGGTTAGAACGAGACAGGAAACTGACAAATCTTTTCAGAGGTGCCCATCTAAATTACCACCGGTCCCTCATCTCTTGGGGAATAATCAATGCAACTTATGAATTCCTGTTAAAAATTACATGAAAGAAATAATTAAGTGCCATTTACCAACTGACTAGACCTTTAAAGAAGAATGTAGTTTGGCCTCATTCCTAATTGGCCAATATAAGTTGGTGTCGTAAGTTCAGGGCACAATGAATTATGGCAAAGCTATTTTCCTTAAGCACCAACAAATGCAGAATAAAAGGTTTCAATAGAAAAATTTAAGGGTTTTTGGGTGTGTGTTTTTTTTTATAATTTTTTTATTGATTTAAGAGAGAGAAAGGGGGAGAGAAACATCAGTGGTGAGTATGAGCCATTGGTTGGCTGCCTCCGAATATCCGCTACTGGGGATGGAGCCCGCAGCCTGGGCTTGGGCTGACCGGGTATCGATGCTTCACCGCTAAACCACACCGGCCGGGCTGTTTTGTTCTAATTATTACCTGAGAACTTTGGGCTAGTTGCTTGGTTAATAGCTGTCTGTCTATGGATGGCTTTTGCTGAGGAAACTAATAGCCAAGATGGTCTTTTCCCCCAAATCTTTAAACCCGTACTAAAACAAGTGGCCATGACCAGCCAGAGAAAAGGCTCTTAGGGCCCCTTGAATTCTCAGGCTTACTTTTATTACTCCATTTCTTGCTTCTCTCCTCTTAGGAGGAGTTGCAAAGTGTAGTCTTTGCTAAACTAAAGCATATACACAAGGAGCAGGACAGAAGAAAGCTTAATAGGTGTAAGCTTTTTCATGATAAATTGCTTGTATTTTGAAACAGCACCTGTTGGGATAGTCATTATCCACGCGGTTTCTGTTTAGGCATGGTAGACTCCAGCAGCTAATGAGAGCTCCCATTTGCTTTCTGGATTTGAAAGCTTTCAGTGTAATTCTGAATGTGACCTTAAACCTGTCCAGAATATCCTCATGTTAATTTCACTGCCAAAAGGTGGGGAGACTTAAATTTTGTCATAGGCGTTTCATCTTACTAAGTTTCAAATTAATTATGTAAAGATCAAACTCTCTTTAGCTCAATTTCTTTGAATTATTGTTGCCAACTTAGCAAATAGCTTTGGGAGTTTTTCCCCCTTTACGTCCTAGTTTGTCTTATTCAAGTACTCTGTTCTCTTGAAACTCCTTTTAGAAAACACTTCCATAAAACTTTATTTTGAAAGTCTGTGTAATAGAATCCCAGGTTTTATTCCTGGTTTCTCGTTGTGTGTGTGTGTGTGTGTGTGTGTGTGTGTGTGTGTGTGTGTGTGTGTGTGTGCGTGCGCGCTCAGGATAGCTTTCGTCCCACAGTGTTGGCTGTCTTTTTTAATTTTAATTTAGTTTTGGAAATAGAGACTTGTATTAGGATTTTTACATTTTGGGAACCCAATTTTACCATTTTATCATTAAAACAATTTGAGAGGATCAGATCTAAATAAAGACATTTGAAGGGTTAATTTTAAATTTCTAGACTGGTAATAGCTGGATGGATTAGTCATCCCTTACCTAACAAAAACGTATTTGTCAAAGGAATCAGCTTTTAAGATGTATTGTCCCGATAAATCAGGCAAAATGATTCATACAGCAGTTGAATGATTAGTAATCATGAAACATCTTAGAAAAGTGGTTTTTTTTTAAACCTACGTCTGTACATATGTAGTTAAGATTGCTTTCCAGCATCTGACATGGCAGAGTAGTTAGGATTCCTACTACCAGTTTCTCATCAGGCTGGGTAATTGCATATGAAAATGTGCACGTAATGACCAAAATAAAATCAGGGTCTCAATTGGTAGTTTACTCAGCTTCTGGGCAGATAGTCTAAAACAGATGTTTACCTCTACGTGCAGTATGGCTGGTCAAATAAAATGAACATCGTTCTTCCAACCAAAAGGATTAGGAAGCATAATCAAGCATTTGTTAGGCAATAATCAAGCTCAGGAGATTTACAACAGTTCTGTTTGACAGTGTTGTGCTAAAAATGGCAGTTTACTTGAGCAACCAAGGTGCAGATGTCAGGATTTCAGAAAACTCACCAAATAAATGTGAGTAGCATCCTTTGGCCTATCAAATAGAGTCAAGGGTGAGGATTGGAAGCAGTTCTTTCAGAAATGAATGACATTGGTACTGTGCTGCATGACCCCTCATTTGTGTGTGAGCCCCTGAGTACTGCCTGTCTAGGTGCTCAGCATGTGGCAGGTGTGTTAGCCTGGGGTCATGCGCTGGCCCTGGAAGTGGACTCCATGGGCCTTTGGTCCCACAGGGCTTGCTTTTGTCTATACACTCCACACAGGTGGTAGAAATCTTAACTTCTAAAGCACTTCGTAAAATACAAGTGAAGTGAGAATATATAGGAGGACACTGGTTTCTGCTGTCTCAAATATGTGGTATTTACAAACAATAAATATTTTTAATGGTTTTAACTCATATTTTTGGATTTCTTTGTCACCTTTTACAGCTTTTGAAGACCAAACTGCAAATACATTACCAGGGATGGTTCTTTGTTGTCCTGTAGACTTCTTAAATTTGACAAAAAGTTTAACACAACTTGTAACCAACAGCTTTGTCTGAACTTGAAAATAAGTCAAATTTATGTTACAAGTAAGATTCTACCTATTGTTTTTACCTTCAGTGTGAATTAGTACAGTAATTCTGAAAAGGCAAATATGATTAACTAACTATTTGAAAAGCTTTAAAAGTGGCCCTTTCTGTTACATATGTGACACAGACTGCTCATGAGCACGGGGCACTTCTGGTTTTGCCTCCTATATTCATGTCTGATGTTATGGATTCCATATTTAACATACGTAAAGTGGTATGAGCCCTCAGGACTGCACCACAGACTAAACACAACCTCTGGTGGGAAATTTGTGTATCTGTTTCATTTGTGTTGGAGACAAAGTTGATGTTGTTTGTCTCAATAGTCAATATTCATCTTATAGTTATATAATCACCTATATATTGTGAACTGTGCGGTAAAACAGAATTGTGTATATATATAATCATTCTTGGGAGACCTGAAATTCCCTAGCTTAATTACAGTGGTAATACTCAGAAGGCTGTGCAAACATGTGAGCGAATAATGGGTGGTAGACAGGATTTGTGAAATGGGACCTGGAGGGCTTCCCAGTAAGCCAGTCATGATGACCAACACTGGTTCAGTGTAGATGAAGTATGGAGCATGAGGGGTATGCGGTCAAAATGAAGGCGAGATAGGAGATCATATTTGAAGAAAGACTTGATTTCTTCTAAATTAAAATAATTCTTTGTTTTCTCATGCATGTAAATGCGTATCAAAGACTTGAACACCTATTCTTACATTTGAGACTTCTGTTTTTAATGCTGATGTTTTCCCCCTTAATATTAAATATTTGCCTAAATGGCTCCCAAATTATGGGGCAATCTCTACAGTACATGTTTCCGTTTTGAAAGTTTCATTAAAAGTGGTTAAGCACACAAAGCTGTTTTTGTTTGAATTTTGTGACTGTGAGTTTAAATGAAACCTGTTAAATGTTTCAGAGTTAACATGCTTCTTTTGGTAATTCTTTTTTGGAATAAAGTTGTTTTCTTTTTTAAGTCCATTTGGTCTTTTGTGGTTGGGTTAGTTACTAGCATATTTCCTTTTTTTTGTTTTTTGTGGTAAATTGATCTGTTAGTATTTGTGTTGATAATACGTTTAGCCACACTATTTTGATTGTTAGCAGCTTTCTATGGGGACTCCATCTTGGAACAAGAGGAGTTCCAAATAACTTAATTTTCCAGATAGCTAAACTGCAAAGTATTTTGATCTTTAAAGCTTTTCTCAAGTGAAATTTTTTTTCTACTGAGTGTAAAACTGTCTTGGCGAATTCAGTTTGCCAGTAATTTCTGTTGTAATCATATCCCTTTGGGTCATGCTTACCCCAGGCTAGGGGTCTAGATGTTCATGCGATTCAGGATTTTTCTATCTGCTTGAAACTTCATAGCTGCTCCTTTGTTTTAGAGTGAAGCCATATTAGCACACTGTTGGTTTACATGTTAAATTGTAAGGTGCTCCCTGTGTCTAGAGATCGGTGTAGCTTGATGAGGACAACTAGGTAAGGGAGCAGTTGCTGTAAAGTATTTCTGAAACTCCATTTTAGGGTAGAAATTCATTACAGAGGTGAATATCCTGAACTTTAGAATTGATAAAAGTAGTATTTTACATGCCATCTGATGAAGTGTCATTTTAATTAACCCACCTGCGGCAGCCATTATAGACCACAAAGTGAGGGGAGCATGTAGAGCAGTGGTTCTCAGCCTTCTGGCCCTTTAAATGCAGTTCCTCATGTTGTGACCCAACCATAAAATTATTTTTGATGCTACTTCATAACTGTAATGTTGCTACTGTTGTAAATCGTCATGTAAATATCTGATATGCAGGATGGTCTTAGGCGACCCCTGTGAAAAGGTCGTTCTACTGCCAAAGGGGTCGCGACCCACAGATGTAGAGACTGTTTCTAGAGGGAGGACCGGGAAGGGGCCTAGAGGAGCTCACACAGCTGCAGAGCACTCCCAGGCCCCCAGCAGGCTGATTCCCAACTTAATCCCTTTAGCCCCTGAAGTTTCCATAGAGAACTTTTCCCCCCAGATGAACATAGCTGATTTTGAAGCAGAAATTGAAAATAGTATTTATCTAAATTCTCATCTCTAATCCATTCTTCATGTTGCTGACTGATCTTTTTAGATGAAATGATCCAGGCCCTGCCACCTTTACTCTCATCTCTAGCTGAAACTGCCTGCCCAGTCACTGCCCTCAAAACAAGGACTTCCATCCTCCTCGAGCCGCCTGGCCTTGACCCAGGCAGAGGACCTCTGCCCGTACACCACACCCTGCTGATTCACTCATTAATTCCCACTGAGGACTTGAGAGTGAGATCAGCTGCCACTTTAGAGAATATAGCCCACACTTGCAGGACTAAGTCAGGTCCCCCTTTTAAATGTTCTATTGCTATCACATCCCTGTTTTAACTATATGGTGATTATTTTATGCTTTTTTCCCCTTCCCAATGCCAGCTCCATAAGGCAGGGATTCTGCTCTAGATTTCAGTGTTTCAAGTGCCTGACACCTGATAGGTATAAATATTTCTTTAGGAATCAGAGTGAAGGGGCACGTGGCTATTCAGGATCACAGCATTCTGGAACAGCCTGTCTGACCTTCATTCCTTGAGGGGTCATGGAGGTTAAGGAAAGAATGTTTACACTGCTCAGGCTGCCATAACGAAATACCATAGAGTGGATGGCTTAAACAACAGACATTTCTCTCAGTTCCGGACGCTGGGAAGTCCAAGATGAAGGTGCTGGCAGATTTGATTCCTGGTGAGAGGCCTCTTCTTAGTGTGCAGACTTCTCACTGTGCCCTCTCATGGCAGAGAGATCCTCATGACCTCATTTACACCTCATTACCTCTCAAAGGCCTCATTTCTAACTACCATCACATTGAGGGTTTCAACCTATTAGCCTTCTGGGTGGCACAAACACATTTATGAGCTAAATGACTGGTGAGTTCTTGATTTTTCCTTTTTAACACTGGCAGCTATCCTTTCATCTGAGAAATGTGTAGCCAATTTGAGACCAAAAGAAAAGTTCCTACATGCGTCAAGATTGCGTGTATGTCCAGGCACTCCATTTTCCTTATCCCTTCTGGCACTGTAAATTGTAGAACTAAGCCTAATAAAGGTGATGAAGAAGGGCAAGAAGAACTTTTTAATCATCAACAATAAAACCAGCCATGATTAGTCAGCAGTTGCTGGTACAGAGCACACCACACAAGGGAAATAAATTCATTTAGTTACAAGGGTCAAGTAATGGGTGGCTCCTGGTCTAGAGCTTTCTTTCTCTTGGGTAAAAAGAAGCTTCAGAACTTCCCTTAATCCTTCTAGTTTTCTGGGAAAACAATCATTTAAGAAAGAAATGTACAGGGTTTTTGGGCTCTGCACTCCTCACTCCACTAGGAAAGAGGCATAGTTTCAAGTAGGAAAAAGTGGGTATGTATGGGAACTAAAGACTTTTCTTTGGTAATTTGTGTGTAAAATATGAAGGTAAAGAGGAAAGAAGTGAGGGCCTGAACTTGGAGATGTAATAGGTGTGAGGCCTTGAGAAAGCTAAGGCGAAGTCCAAGAGGATGAAAACTTCGTGGTGGCGCTTTGGGGCTCTTCAAAGCTTCTGCAGCTCAGGGTCCAGGGGCAGGAATGCATGTTGGGTTTGTGTCTGGGGGCAATGCTAACTATCTACTAATTTCAATTTGTGCCTTTTATTGTTTATTTCTTATTTGTTTAGCAAATTTGCCAGCATTTGCTCAGTACTATAAAACTGCCCTTATTTAAAGGCAAATTATTTTGAATTATAAGATTCTAGACTTGTGGAAATAGAGCATTGGGTGCCTGAGACAAGTTCCAAAGTAAAAATTTAAACCTCCCTTGATGCCCCAGTGACTCCAGGCTAGATTAGGTCTGTGCATGTGGTGACTGTCTCAACCTGCTCTCCCATGGTGTGCTGTGTCCTTCAAGACACAATGTCTTTGTATCCACAGACTAGAGAGTCTCACATCTGCTCAATGAATGACTCAAAATCTGATCCCAGATGTTGTCTTTATCACTATTACTTTCCCTGTTTCAGAGACACTTTTTCTAAGAATTTGTTGTGTGTGTGTTTTTTTTAAAAAGATGTATTTTGATTTATTTCAGAGATGAAGGGAGAGAGATAATCATTGATTGGCTGTCTCCTCCACGCCCTCCAATGGGGATGGAGCTCACAACCTGGGCATGTGCCTTGATTGGGAATCAAACTGTGATCTCCTGGTTTACAGGTCAACACTCAACCACCGAGCCACGCCAGCCAGGCTAAGAATGTGTCTTTTAAAAATATCATGGGGAATGCATATGTATGATTCCATTCATATGACATTCAGACAACTCTATGGTGCGGGGGAAAAAAAACCTGGCTGCTTCTGGGAGGGATGGGGAAGGGACTTACCTGGGAAGGGTCATGAGGGGACTTTCTGGGGTGATGGTGGTACTGTAATCTACGTATATCGATACAGATTTGGGCAAATGTATACAAGTGTATACATTTGTATAAACTTAGAGGGCATGCCATTAATATTTGTGAGCATCAGTGAAATTTTTCAACAAAAGAAAAAATACTGAACTTTAGTTAATGATATGTATTGCTTAGGATTTTTAGAAGGATGTGTACAGATAGCTGTAATTTATTCAAAATACATAAAAATTAAGATGGATTGATGGAGTATTTGATAAAACAAGCATAGTAAAATGTTAATGGTAGACTCTTGGTAAACAGATGTTCACTGTAAAATTCTTTCAACTTTGCTGTATGTTTGAACATTTTTATAATAAAATGTTGAGAAAAATCATTTGGGGGTTTTATCACAATATTTGGTATTACTGATATATTGAGAGATTGAGTTTAGTTCTTTTAGTTTAGTTATTCTTAGAATACCCCTCACAGGTTGTGACAGGGCTGGTGGGTAAAATAGAGCCTAATCAATTTATTTCTTATTGAGACTACCCCAGAGGTGAGGAATCTACTGACCCCTTTGAGGGACCAGGGTAGGGATCATGATTTTCCTGCCAATACTCTGCAACTTTCAATAAATGCCAGGAAATCCTTCTTTTAATTATATACATTTATTAATTATATACACGCACAAAAATACTATCCTATATAAATAAAAAGCTAATATGCTAATTAGACCAAACACCTGAACGACCTTCCAGATGAAGGCGGGGCTGTGAGGGCCAAGCCCCTTGCACAAATTTCATGCATCGGTCCTCTAGTTAGGTAATAACTGCTTAATAAATACAATGTATTCAGAATAGATCTGATACTTTGTATTGAACTTTTAAAAAGTAATTCTTTCACAATGAAATTTGGATCCTTCCTTTTCCCCAAAGACTAGCCTGTTAAAGTGAAGGCTTTTGCAAGTTAATTTTAATGCAGCAGTCTAGTGTACCCATAATTTAAATGGAAACAGCTATTTCCGATAGAAAGGTTAAAAAGCATTTTGAGTTGCCTCTGCCATGGTTAGTTTGTTCCTTTTCTGGTGGCTGCAGCTCTGCCCAGCTCACACCAGAGAGGGGCATTACTGTAGCAGTGCTCCTCTTTCTGAGTTAGAAGACAAGCCACAGGGCACCAGTCTGTTCCTGAGAAGGTAGACGATCTTAGCTTAACTCGCTGCTCAGTAACTTCAATATATTAAATTAGGAAAGTCTTAGCTCTCACTGAAGGACTGCCAAACTGACAATGTACTAAATAGTGTAGTTGATGGGATGCACGTTGTCCATCTATAATATCAACCTCCGAAGTTAAGATCTTCTCTAAAACGGCTTTATCTACATAAAGATCCATGGGATCTGGCATCCATGAGAAATCCAAACTCTACATTTTCAATATCCATAGTTCTCAAACTGTGGTTTCCAGAACTGTAGCAGCCACAGGGAATGGGTGAGCAATGCAAAATGGGGGCTCTCACCACAAACCTATGAAATCAGAAAGTCTGGATGGGGTCCCAGCAGTCTGTCTTAAGCCCTCCAGGT